GAGAAGGAGCTTGTAAGGGAGCTTACCCTGGGTCAAAGGGAATGCCAGACAGTTGCCCTGTATGTCAGGAAAGCAGATTTCAAAAAACTTTTAAGGAAACAGAAAATTTCAAGCAAATAAGACCAAGGAAGATGACCTAACTCTAGACACTTAAATCCTGAATGAAAATTGTGCATAATGAAAAGGCAGACAGATAAGCAATTACAGGGGTACTGAGGCAGGCTCATTCTTCAGTGAATTTTCAACATAAACAGTGATAGAGGAGAAAACAAAACAGTTGTGTTTAAGGGCAAGGCAGCCAGTTCTGAAGATTTACCTGTCTTGATCTTACCTCTTTGCTTGAATAGGGTGATTTTTAATGCAATGGTCAAGGGAAGAAGACAAAAAGAAGAGATAGAACTTCTGCTAACATCAAAGTTAGCAAAGATGAAGTTTTGCTTGGGAATTCTCTGCGACTCTTCAATCCCACAAGGATAAAAAGAAGAGTGCTAGCTAGAGTGGCTTTGAAGGATAAATTAGCAAGGGGAAGATGAATAAAGACATAAATATTTAAATGACTTCAAAACTGCTGATTTAGAGAAATCCTATGCTATGATTTTAAAATGGATAGGGCTTTATGTTCAATAATCTTTAAGAAGGTTGTGAAGATTACCAGCAAATCAGAGAATACAAGAGTCTCTGTTTTCATTGCAAAAACAAAGTAGCAACAAAAACTCTGAGGAGTGTGTAAGGATCAAGTTGCTGAAGTCCTTAGTAATCAAATTTTATGTAATCCACAAGATAGTGATTCTCAAATTTTTTATCTCGGTGAGCTCTTAAAATTATTGAACACCCAAAACACATTGGATTATGTGATGCCTCTAAACATTTACCTTGCTTTGTATGAAAACTGAGAAATTTAAAATATAAGAATATAAATTTCATGATCTATTTGGCCTTAACCAGTGATATTATCACATCATACAGCTGCTGGAAAACTCTATACTCAGGAGAGAAAATAAAAAAGGAAAATGATACCTTAGTATTACTATGAAAATAGTTTCAATCTGGCAGATTCCCTGAAAGAGTTCAAGGAAACCTCTAGGGATCCCAAAATATACTTTAAAAACCATTGCAACAAAATTTCTCACCACAGGCCCAAGTAGACATGAACACTAATGTTTGTGACAATATTATCTGTAATAGCAAATACTTGACAATTTCCTTTAGTAATGCAATGGATAAATTGTAAAGGAAAAACAGAAACTATAGGGCAATATTAAAATAAATTTCCTATGTACATATTTGATTTGCATCTCAAAAATGTTATATAAAAATGCAAGTTTATTATATATAATCGGATGTCAGTATGATATCATCTATGTACTTAAAGGGCTGGGCCAGGCTGAAGCCAGGAGCCAGGAACTCTGTCTGTGTCTCCCCTGTGGGTTGTAGGGACCAAGAACTTGAACTGTCATCTAATGCCTCCCAAGGTATGCATCGTAAGGAAACTGGATTGGAAGCCAATGCAGGACTCAAACCAGGCACTCTGAAATAGGATGCAGGCTTCCCAAGCAGAGGCTTAATCTACTTTACTACAATGCCTACCCCAGTGTGAATCATTTAATACAATGTTAACATGCCAAATAATACTTCATAATATTATTGCCATATGAAAATCCAAACCAAACCTAAAGTAAGTATAGAGATGGATTATTTGTTCATTTTTGGTAAAAACCACCAAGGCTTTTAAATATCATCTTGTATTTCTGTTTTAGTATTTTTCAATCTATCTGGAGGCTGCTGCAAAAGGAAAAAGTGATCATTACGTTCCAGTTTCCGTCTACCTGGGACAGTGGTTATTAGATTATGTCCCACAACCATCAGTAGCATCAGCATCATCTGGGGGCTTGCAGAAATGCAAACAAAGAAGCCCACTTCACAGAGTCCATTGCTGAATCAGAATGTCTTGGTGTGGTCCAGGAACCTGGATTATAACAATGGTTCTCTAGGAAGTTCTGATGAAAGTCCAAGTTTGAGAACCAACGTATAAGAATAAACAAATGTGACCATTTGATGTACACTTTGTGCAATGTATCTAATTCCACAGTAATTTTGATAATATTTCTAATGATGTTCTAGTGTTTAAAATGATGTTAGATATGAAAAAAGGTTTTTCAAAGATATTTGCCAGATTTTTCAAGTGTTCTTCATCCTTTGGATGTATCTCTGCTTCTCAGATAAATAAAAATTAAGTATTTGTGATATAAGAAAATTAATTAAACTAATTATTTATAACATAAATATAATACATGAATATAATAAAATATTATGATATATTATAATTAATAATAAAAATTAATAAAAACAGAAGTGAAATGCAAATTCTTTCCAATCCTAGCTTTGTTTGAGATATGGCCCACATTATTATTTGGTTATTAGAGAAGTGTTAGACTTATCTTGTGTTAGAGAATTATCTCAATAATGGGCTATTGCCTAAATAGTAGAGTTGGTTAATTGGTCAGTTTCTATTGAGTATCAGTCAATACCCATTTTATTTTATTTTATTTTTTTATCTTTTATTTAATGAATATAAATTTCCAAAGTACGACTCATGTGTTACAATGGCTTCCCCCCCCATACCGTCCCTCCCACCCACAACCCTCCCCTTTCCCACTCCCTCTCCCCTTCCATTCACATCAAGATTCATTTTCGATTATCTTAATATACAGAAGATCAGCTTAGTATACCTTAAGTAAGTATTTCAACAGTTTGCTCCTACACAGAAACATAAAGTGAAAAATAATAGATGATTTTTTTTAAATGATGATGAAATCAGATCAGACCTATTGTCATGTTTAATCCCAGTGAGAGTCAAGTTGGGAATTGACAATTTCTTTTTTTTTTTTTTTACAGAAGATCAGTTTAGTGTACATTAAGTAAAGATTTCAATCGTTTGCACCCCATAGAAACACAAAGTGAAATATACTGTTTGAGTACTCGTTATAGCATTAAGCCTCAGTGTACAGCACATTAAGGACAGAGATCCTACATGAGGAGTAAGTGCACAGTGACTCCTGTTGTTGACTTTACAAATTGACACTCCTGTTTATGGCATCAGTAATCTCCCTATGCACCAGTTATGAGTTTCCAAGGCTATGGAAGCCCCTTGAGTTCTCCGACTCTTATCTTGTTTAGACACGGTCATAGTCAAAGTGGAGGTTCTCTCCTCCCTTCAGAGAAAGGCACCTCCCTCTTTGAAGACCTGTTCTTTCCACTGGGATCTCACTCACAGAGATCTTTTTGCCAGAGTGTCTTGGCTTTCCATGCCTGAAATACTCTCATGGGCTTTTCAGCCAGATCCGAGTGCCTTTAGGGCTGATTCTGAGGCCACAGTGCTATTTAGGACATCCGCCATTCTATGAGTCTGCTGAGTATCTCACTTCCCATGTTGGATCACTCTCCCCTTTATTTATTCTATCGGTTGGTGTTAGCAGATACTAGACTTGTTTATGTGCTCCCTTTGACTCTTAGTCCTTTCATTATGATCAATTGTGAACTGAAATTGATCACTTGGAATAGTGAGATGGCATTGGCACATGCCACCTTGATGGGATTGAATTGGAATCCCCTGGTAGTCAATACCCATTTTAAATGGGAGGCTCTTCTGTGCCTAATGATTTATCTCCATCTTTTGTGCATATAACATTCTAGCTTTCTGAAAAGCTTCAAAATCCTATCAGAAAATCAAACTCACAAGATGCAGATTTTAAAACTACATTGATCTTTGGGCAGAATAGGCTCCTATGTACAATACCAGAATATAATGACCAAGAGCATGAATGAATGATGAAATCAAATTCCAGTTTAGTCATTTCAGGTGATGTCTTACAAACATTTCCCATGATTTATCAGACTACTTCTTTGCATCAATTTAAAATACACATAGTTTTTTCACAGATGTCTACCAATACAATAAGCGGGAGAAGCATATGAACTTTCAGCTTTTTCTGGATTATAAAATTCTGGAATGACCTATAACATAATGATAAACTTCAACAATGTTTAATGCCCTTAGAGTTTTTGAATAATTTGTTTAAGGTAAATTATATCTGACTTTCGGGGCCAGCGCTGTGGTGCAGCGGGTTGAAGCCCTGGCCTGAAGCACTGGCATCCCATATGGGCGCTGGTTCTGGTCCTGGCTGCTCCTCTTCCAATCCAGCTCTCTGCAATGGCCTGGGAAAGCAGTGGAGGATGGCCCAGGTCCTTGGGCCCCTGCACCCATGTGGGAGACCTGGAGGAAGCTCCTGGCTCCTGGCTTCGGATTGGCACAGCTCTGGCCATTGCGGCCATCTGGGGAGTGAGCCAGTGGATGGAGGACCTCTCCTTTTCTCTCTCTCTGCCTCTCCTCTCTTTGTGTAACTGACTTTTGAGTAAATAAATAAATCTTAAAAAAATTATATCTGACTTCAGGAATCAAATATTTGCTTTTATTGAAAATAGCTCTCTATTAGGCTATGAAGACAAATTTAGTTATAGATAAATATTTATATATGTATATATAAATGAATATATGTAATTGTAAATATTATTTGTTAATGTTAACAATTGTTAGTACTAAATTTTACATAAAAGAAAAATTGATATATTTTGAGAATAAATGGTAAGCATCAAAAAGCTATCAAATGCAGTGTTAGAGGCTATTATTAATATTTAAAAGAGCACATGGGTAAAATTCTCCAATTTAAAGACTATCAAATACCATATAAAGCAGAAATACAAATTTCCTATTTTATGATTACATTTTATATGTCTGATTTGTTAAAAAATCTCATACCCGAAAGCTGAGGTTCCTTTACGTGTGCTGCGATTTATAGTAAATAAACATTGCAATCTTTGAATAATTGTGAATAATCTGTGAAAAATACATGGTTTAGATACTTGATAGCTAGCTCATAAAGATGAATGCCGCAAATAAAAACATGCTTTTAAGCCACCCTAGAGACAGTATCCTTGCATACCTTCATGGGCGCCAGCTGTATGGGGGTGATACAGGAAGGGTCCACCATGGGCTTCGGTCTGTTGGCAGTATCTGCTAACAGGCTGTGCCATTGCTGTGGAAGGCCGGTAAATTTCTGTTCTTGTGGATCAAACCCAGTATGAACTCTGTGCTCAAAGTTGGACGGGCCAGATATTTCAATCTTTTTCTTTTTCTTCCCAAACATGATGCCAAAACCTGGGAAATGGAAACAGAAAGCAGGCAGCTGTTTATCGTTTGCCAGCAGCAGAGCATAAGAAAATTACTGTTAATTTAGTTATCTCTTCAGTCATTCCTCTATGTAACAGTCACAAAACATGAAAGCTGGATTTTTCACCGTGTGTAGATCAGATCATTTCATTTGCAATCTTTTGTTCTCCCTTTAAACTTGCTGTCTGTAACATGGTTCCCAAGCAGTTCAAGGTGGAGGGTTTTGGAGATGTCATGTACTTCTACTTTCCCCCTTGTGCACCTGCAACCTGCCATGAAGATCTTACAGGTAGACAACACTTTCTCAGCCCCTGTCTTAGAAGGAGAGAGGCATGAAGCAGACACAAACCTGACTTCCAAGATCTGAGACCAGCCAAGCACAGCTGAGCCATAGGTAAGCCTCAGCTGACTCACAAGTGAAAAAGCAGTTTGCAGTAAAGCTACTGGGATTGTTAACTGGTTTCTTATGTGGTATTATCAAAGCAAAAACTGATGAGCACATAGAGAGAAGCATCTCAAAAGTGTGGTATGCATACGTGAAAAAATCAAATGTACGTGTACATGACAGGTTAATAATGAAATTCACCACCTAAAATTATAATTAGGATTAAACAAGTAAATATCTGTAAAGCACCTGGAAAATCATCTGGGACAAAGTAAGAGCTAAAAGTATTAACCATGCCTTCAGACAAATAAACAGTAAACTTGACTGACACTGCCTTTAGAGAAGAGAATCCAGGCAACAAGGCAGGGAGGGAGACTCACTTCTCATTGCACACTGTAATTAAAATTTTGTACAATATATTTTACTTGTTTGCAGTGGCACAGTTTACCTAGTTAAAACATTTCCAGGAGCAATACTCTCTTTAGAAAATAAGTAAAATAGGCAAAGTAATAACATTCTGTTATTAAATACTGGGTAGGGCACGTGTTAGCTGTGATCTTGGGTAATGGCTTTATATTCTCTCAATCTACTTGTTTATAAACAGGACAATAGGGGTCAGCTTGGAGCATTAGAAAACATGATGTTTTGGGGTAAATGTTGTTTTGTTGAGGAAGCCTTATCTCCATACTTAGGCCAGAATTTGTGTGTTATATGCTCCTGAATTACTAAGAGTGTATTCTTCATAGCATTTTGTACTTATGATTAATTAATTCCATGTAACTGTATGCTTTGTTTTCCCTACTTAAATGTAAGACTCATGAGAAGAACAGTGCTGCCTGGTTGTTCACTATTCCTTGACATTTCAGCTCAAGAAAAATTTGCTGAGGCTGGCGCTGTGGTATAGTTGGTTAAGCCACTGCTTGCAGCAGCAGCATCCCATATGTACAGTGGTTCATGTCTGGGCTGCTCCACTTCCAATGCAGTTCTCTGCTAATGTGCCCAGGAAATCAGAGGAAAATGGCCTGAGTACTTGGGCCCCTGAATACATGTAGATCCAGATGAAAGCTCCTGTCTCCTGACTTCAGTCTGGCCTAGCCCCAGCTCCAGCCATTGTGACCATTTGAGGAGTGAACCAGTGGATGGAAGATCTCTCTCTGCCTCTCTTTCTCTGTAACTCTGTGTTTCAAATAAGTAAATAAATCTCTTAAAAAAGAGAAGACTGAAAGGACTGAACAGGGCATTTATTCAGTAAATATCACATTAGGTCAGAGCTCCACAGATATTAACATCTTCCCTCACTCTCCCCTTTGCCTTCTCTATCTCTGTTCATCCTCCATTAAAACTTCTGTTTGCCCTTTAGCCATTTATCTCTGCTTGCCAACCAGTCTCTTCCTGCTGCCTTCTAGTTTCTCAAGATCATTTTCCATCCCCTGCCTGGATAAATATTTTCTCAAAAATGAGCAGATCATTCACAGCCTTAACCTTCCAGTCACCATCAAAATGTACTACACTCCTCTTGTTTGTTACTTTAGACTATTTTGGGAAAATAATGAAAGGCAACAGTGAAAAACTAATGAAAAGAGAATAAGGGCTCAAAATACCTTGATGTATTACTGTCCCTCTTGGAAACATAACTCTAATTTAAAAGCTTTAGAAACTTCTTTGCTAAAAGTCAATAAATAGATACAGGTCAGCTAATTTTAAACACTGGCCCTCTGCCCCTCACACCACCCCAAACCCTAAAGTGTAAAGAAATAAAGGATCCCAGTTGTGGTAGACTGCTTCAGGAATGGTCCACAGTGTCCATGCCCTTGGGTAGGTCTCTCCCATACTGACTCTGGTTTCAGATATGTAATTTGCCATGGCCAATGTGACAAAAGAAACTATGATAGGGACATATAATGTGCTTGAACAGCAGGGCTTGTGCTTTTCTGTTTGTGGAATCTGAAGTTCACACGAGAACACAGCCAGGCGAGGACAAGAGATATTGCCTTCCCTTGTCATCCAGCCAACAACCAGCCAACACCCAGAAGCCAAACTGCCCAGCTAGCCACATGGGTGAGCCCTGTCAACACCAGCAGAAGACCTAGGTGAGCTGGACTCAAACATGCAAACACAAATACATGGTTGTTGCTTTAAACCACTATGTCTGGGAGTAGATCTTGCGCATAGAAAAATCTGACCAATAGTGTGGGGAGCAACTCAGACTAGACTAAGTTACTGGAATTAAGACTTATTCTATGCATCTGCTCTCCCACAATATGGCGCTGGGAGAGGAGTAAACAGCTTCTACACAGCTGCCTCTCGCCAATTTGATTGACTGAGCTGCAGGAGCTGATCTTGCTCCTGATTGGAGGAGAGCAGCGTACTCGGCGTGTGGGTAGCAGAGTTGGGATTGGTGGAAGAGGACTATAAAGGAGGAGAGAGACAACATGCACCAGGAACATCTAAGGGGAACATCTATCTGAAGGAACACCTGAGCAGCCTCCGAGAGAGCCGGCCGACGGTGTGCCGCTCCCCTGCGGAAGTGGGGAAAGTGGCAGGGGGGCCCGCCCCTCCACGGAGGTGGAAGGGTCGGTAGCCAACCCAGGAAGAACCAGCAGCAAACCCGGGGAGGGCCGAGCAGACGAAAGAACAGCGCAGGGTCCTGTGTCGTTCCTCCACGAAGACGGGGAGCGACATAATGGTGCCGTGACTCGGATATGAAGCCTAGGCAGGGTTTAGTGTCATTCCTCCATGAAGAGGGGGAGCGACACAATAGCAAACACCTGGTTGTCATCCTACACCTTGCATTTTCAGATGCTCATCATTTTTCTCTTTGAATTTTAGCTGCCTCAAAGTTTCAAGCGACAATATTTGATCTGGGTATTAATATTGGGCTGTTACACAATTGTGTTAGCTCAAAGTAATCTTGATTGTGATACTAACTGGTTAGTTGAAGTTCTGAAATGTTTTCAGTAGTAGGAAATTACTCCAATAAGTGGCTTTGTATATCATCTCCCAGTATTATTTAGTAAACATCAAAATATAATTTAGTCATCTGTTGGCTGAGTTCACTTGGCATTTTATAAATTTCAGCTATCACTACTTAAACAGAAATTATTTCTGAAAAATCATATGAGAAGTGATTTTTTGCTTGTATATATACATCAGCAAGAACTGAGAATGCTAGGCCAAATATTTTTAGAAGCACAAATAAAATTATCTTACTATTCCCTTCCTGATTGTGAATTTCCCAGTAGTTGTTATGCCATTCAAGTGAGAGAATAAGAAAAAAATCAATGAATTGTTCCTGTTTATTTTTTAAAGATTTAAAATTTAAAGATTTAAAATTCATTGAGCCAGTTCAAGTCCCAGCTGTTCTGCTTCTGATCCAGCTTCCTGCTAACATGCCTGGGAAAGCAGCAGATGATGGGCCCAGGTGATTTGGCCCCTGCTACCCATGTAGGAGACCAGGATGGAGTTGTTGGTTCTGGATTCAGCCTATCCCTGGGGAGTGAACCAGCAAATACAAAATCTCTCTCCTTCTCTTGCTCTGCTTTTCAAATAAACAGACACATAAATAAATCTTACAAAAGATTCCTGTGAAGTATGTGCTTGATTGAATGCAGAGACAGAATCTCCAAGATGGGTAGTGAGATTCCACCAGCAGTGGCTCCTAGCTTGTTAGTAGTGAAGAAGCCTCTCCTTGAGTGAAAGACAGGGCCCAGTGCCATTTAGCACTGTGCAGCCAAGGGATAGCAAGCAAGGAAGTCAGGCTGTGTTTGGTGGCTTATTTCTTCTCTCTCACGTGTCCATACTTAGTCTGTACCTGGTATGGGATTAATGCTCAGTATGTATCATCTCACACTCTCCATAACCCTATAGCAAAGTTTATAGGAAAAGATCAACCCTAAGTTTGATAATTGACTAGCAGGACTCACAGACCTCTCAAGTTTAGTTTAAATCTTTCTCTGCTCAAATGCTTTTCCGTACATAGTTCATGGGAACCTAACCCAAGTTGTAAACAGCATGTCACCTACTCTTGTAACAAGTAGCTGAGTGTCAGCCAATCACAAGCAGCCAACTGTTCAAACTGTGTTCAAATAACACAGACTTGAACTGTAACCAATCATGCTGTTTTTGAACCTCATTTCCATTTTCTGTATATCACTTATTTTTTGCTGGCTATAAATATAAACTTTCCGTGTGGTCATGGTTGGGTGGCATTCTGAACTATGAAGCAGCCCAACTGTTGCTTAATTCCTGAACTGCAAGTAAGGCCAATTAAGATCCACAAAACTAGGTGTGCTATGATTCGATATTTTAATAGACTCAGCAAATATTCACACTAATGACAATGATTTATTACAATAAAATGAAAAGAAACTACCAAGGGGAAAAGGGGCATGGGAAAAAGTCTGAAGGAAACCAGATACAAGATTTCAAAGGTCTTCTCCCAGTGGATTTATTCAGGACATAATCCTTTCCCCCACTCAGTATTGACTTCTGACAACATATGTGAAATGCTCTCTACCAGGGAAGCCCATTAGAAATTGCCTGAAGGGGCTGGTGCTAAGGTGTAGTGGGTAAAGCCTACTCATGCAGTGCCGGCATCCCATAT